GCTGCGATCGCCGGCATATACTGAACGTGTTCAGACCTGCTCACGACAAGACAGGTAGTGGGGGTGGCGACAGTAGTGTAGTTGATTTATATAGGCCCTTTGTTTCTCAAGAAAAGTATTTTCTATTATATATAGAAAATATCGCAAATAGAAAAACAAATCAATTACATGCAATTTGAAAATTTTATATACATAGATATATATATATATATATATATAAAATATTGATTCTTAATTAGATTTAAATTTATAAATAATTTACAAATTTATAAATTTATTTTTTAATATATATATCACAGAAAATGTGCATATAATTTCATTCTATTTTAATTACATTTATTACATTATATNTGTTATTAAAATTAAAAAAAAATCGAATTTTATAAGAAACATTTTTATAAAATACATAATATATTAATTATTTTTTTAAAAAAATTAATTTTAACTAATTTTTTAAAAAATTATATATTTTACAATTTTTTTTAAATATAAACAAAAATTTCTTTTAAAAAAATTTGTATTTTTTTCAGTACTTTTGATCAATTTTTATAATGATATTTTAAAATGAGATGTATGCATAATTACTATATAAAAAATAGAATAGGAGTCTAAATATATACAAATAATAAGTACAATAAAAGACATATTTTTTTTTCTTATTAAAAAACATATTTTTTTAAAATTTTTTTAATACTTTCTATAATTTTCAATTAAAAAATGGAATAAACGAAATTTATATTAATTACAATCATAAATATTCTATTAATTTATGATAATAAACCATAATATAATATGTATAAATTTTGTTATCAAAAGTATTATATTTGAATTCGAATTTAATTAAAAAATTTTCATCATTCATAAATTTTAAAAAATATATTTCGCAATTTTTTTTTATATTTCAAGATTTTCAAATTATAATTTATATTATATTATATTTATAATCATATATAATATAATTATAGTATATTATATTTATCTTTAAATTATTTTATTTTTACTTACCATTATTTTTCAATAACTATTGGTAGAAGTATATTTAAAAACAAAATATAATGAAGTAAAAAACATAATATGTATTTTCATTTTAGTATATATGTACATACACTGATAAAATGGAAACAGCCTTATTTCTATTAATTTATGATAATAATAAGCCATAATATAATACTTAAAGTATTAAACACAAAATTCCAAACATTTCTAGAATATCATCATAGAATTATTTTTAAATTACAGTTATCAAGAGTTTAATGTTTAAACAGTTTCTGTATTTTGTTATATTTTGTTTTTTTTAATTATATTAATGACCATGATATCAGATATTAGTTTGAAATATATTTTTATTTTATAATCTGTTATTAAAATGTGTTGCTATATATCTTTATTAAAAATTAATATTTTAATATTTGAAATTTTTTCTTTTTTAATGATATATAATAAGTAATTTCTAATTATTTTCTATTGCAAAATTTATATATAATGTGTGTTTGTATGCAATAGCAAACAATTTTAATTCTATAATATTAAAATTATCGCATTACCTATCATGTAACTTTTCTTCAACATATAAGCTTTTTTTTAATAAAAAGAAACCAATTAATATATAACATATAAAAGGCTACCATTCTTTTATAATGTTTTTTTCTTTGAGGTATCCAAATATATGAACCATTCGAATCTTCTTTCCAGGTACTACTTCATTTATCATATTATGGTCTGTGCTACCTTATTTGTTATTCGCAATAAACAGGCATTCACATCACTTCCATACTGTTATGTGTATTTTCTGTAAATCCCAATGTAGATGTTGGTGCATCTTGCGATGTTTCTTCTAATGATTGTGCATCCATGCCTTCTGGTACATTATTTGTTGTTGAACTTGTTCCATCATCCCAATTTATTTTAAATCTAGTGACACGAGGTTTATCTCCTAAGATATTTCTTTGTACTTTATCAAATTGAGGCTGAGGTGGTGGATTTTCTCTAAGTTCTGCATCTGTGTATTCATTATTTATAAAGTAACCAACACGTACAAATTCATGTCCTCTATATGAACAAGTTAATAAAACCACTGTAACTCCTAAAGCATCATTCACTGGAATCCTACTAACATCTGGAGGATCGGCCTAAAATAAGATATAAATGCTAAATTTATATGAAAAAAATAATATATTATAAGTATTAAATATATATTTAACTGAAAGATTTTAACTGAAATTTATAATTGTTGTTTTATTATTAATTAAATCATTATTTAAATGATATTTTCAATATACCTGAAAAATAAACATATGCCTTCCCTCAGGTATTGGACCAACATAAATTGTGTCTAAAACTTGATCAAATTCTTCAGATTCAGCACTACCGACATAGATCATTTTCCATTCCAAATCTATAAAACCATTATTATTATTATTATAATATGTTACATGTTACTTATTTCAAACAAAGCATTTGATACAATATTTAAAAGAAAATATATTAGAATTTAAAAAAAAAAATGAAATATAAAATAAATTAGTTTCTTTTTCAATTACAAAATTGTTAAAAAAGATATTATTGATTTGTCCTTGAAAAATTCAGTATTAAATTATTAAAACTAACCTAGCATAAGCACTAAAAATATTTGGACATATAGTTATTTTTAATAATGTTAATATCAAGTTAGAAATATATTTTATAAAATAAATAAAGGTTAGAACAACTACCTTCTTTTAGTTCTTCGATACATTCGAAAGTAACTTCGAACTGGAATGGATTTAGAAACGGCGAAGGATTATCGAGAACAGCTACATTTGCTAACTGAACTTTAGCCATCGTTGATTTTGTTTAATGAATAATTTCACCGAAACACCGTGAATTTTATAATAACAATTTTAAAGAACTGTTTATTAGATTGTATTCTTTATACTGAATTAGAAAATTAATCTTTTGAGAGACGAAAGATCTCGAATCAAAGCATAAACAATTTCATTCCAGCACACAGCTTGCTTTGGCGGCAAACGAACCAAAGGATGTTTCCGGCCTTTCGCGAACAACCGAAACTTCATATGATATTGTATATATGAATGTGATAGTAGTCATAATATACATTTTAAAAATTAGTGATTTTAATTCGATGCGAATTTTAAGAAAAATAAATATTATTTTTAATTTTATATGAATTATTCCGAATATTTATTTGAATGTAATTATTGTAATTTAAAAATGTTCATTGCGCTGTTTTGAAATTTTTACTTTCAAATATTAATTATAATATAATTTGATTTTTTATGTATAACATAATAAAATTATAAAATTGGATTTTAAAAATAATGAAAAAGACAAAATAAAATATATTTATAAAAAAGATATTTACTTACTTTAATAGTAAAACAGATTATTTTAACTATTTTTGTTTTTTTCTCTATTGTTATTTTTGCATTTTAGATTTTAAAAATATAATCATTTTCTTATTTTATATTGTATAATGTATCAATAAAAAATAATTTATAAAACTAAATATATAATATATAAAACTAAAAACAAAAATTATTGATTGAAATTCAATTCAAATGATTACATAGAATGAAACTCTCAGAATTTTAGTGTGAAATTAAACATGTTCATTTATAAGCATTGCAAGCATTTTTGTTCTTAAGAATTATTTACAATATAGTGACACATGAGTAATTGATGCAATGTTGCAAATGTTTTAAATTTAATTATAAAAAAATAATAAAATAAATATAAAAATTATCTATAAATA